TCTGAAACGTATAAAGTCACCATGTATTAACTTGAAAATCTGATAACGAATGTCGATATAAAATCCACGAAATTAATAACAAAACATAATACGAATACGAAAATATTCAAAGCAGAGGAGATCAAGCCAATTTATACTTCAATTCCATTTTTTTTTTTCGATTACCCACACAGAAGTAAAAACCTACATAAAATCCGCAGTCCGATAACGCGCGGAGTTGCAAGTTGCAAGAAGAAGCAGTACATACGTAGGTTCTCTTTCTTTGCAGCTGTCTCTGTCTCGTATTTTTCTCTGTTCTTCCGTGTCTTTATTTTTTTCAATCACCATTGTAAAAAGTATGAAAACTGTATACAACCAACCACCGACCCGCGGAATTTTGTCGCGAGGATGCAAGAAGTAGAAGCAGGTCTCTCTCTCTTCTCTCTCTCTCGTACTTTCTCTGTCTCTTCCGTTTCTTTCTCTTTCTCCCTCCCACTGTCTGTCCATTTCGTTTCCCTTTCTCCACACTCAGTACACTCCCCTCCTATCTTTGTCTCTCTCTCTCTCTCTCTCATTCTCCCTTTGGCGTCCATAAAACGCGCGTCCACTTTTACGCGGCTTTTACGGTACTTAGTCGCGGCTCGTTCTCCACGCAAGAGGAAGCCTCTTCGAGGTTCATTCCTGAACGCGTTCGAGCGCAGGAAACGTACGACACGGTCGTTGCTGTTGTTGTCCAGGGGCAGCGGTGCTCGCCAATGACGGCTGCTGATTCGAGGAAAATGCCGGTGGTGATCGGCGCGGAAGAGGAAGACGGGATACGGAGCATCGGCTGTTGAAGCGAGTCCACGGAAAAGTCGCTTGGATTCCTCGAGGATATCGAGGTCGCGCGAACGCTGCCGGGCGAAAGAGCGCATCGTCGTCGCGATTAATTCGAAGGTAGCGACGTTCTCTCGAACCGGACGAATATTAATTGCTCCGCGAGTGCACGAGAAAGCGGATGTTCAGTGGCGATTTGAAAACACGAAGGAAGCTCTCGAACGTAACTGAAAATCGCGTGACAACGAATGGCTCGATGCCGTTCAATTGGAACTAATGATTCAGTAACACTTCGAACCAGTTAAGAAACCAAATTGTCGCATATCGTTTTCACGTGTTCAAAAAAAAAAAAAAAAAAAAAAAAATCGAAGATACAGTGACACCATAAAAACTAATCGGTTTGTTACCAATGATACGTGTATAATCGAATCGACGCGTAAACTAGCTTTGTACCACTTTTTCTGTTTCAAAATCTCAAGACAAAAGACCACATTGTCAAAATGTTAGAAAACGTAACCAGATGGCCAGGTAACGCGGGTTCACGACTGGTGAAGGCCAGAAGCAGCCCGAACGTGTCGAAACCACCGTTGTCAGTACCTCGGAAGCAAGCACAGCCCGATCCGAACAGATCCACGCCCACGAATAAATCTCAACGAGTGGCAAAAACCTCAACGCCTCCTAGAACGACAACCGGCTCGAAGATCGTCTCTAACGATCACGCTGGTTCTCGAGCGACTTTTTCCTCCGAATCGGCCAAGGCACGCGTTTCCTGTCCGAGCAGGTCTCGTCGATCAACACCGGACGGTCGAGCGGAGGCAACGAGATGCCCGTCGACGATCACGAGGAACGAAAAGAAGCAAGTGGCGAGGTCTGTTAGCTCCTCCCCGTCCTGCACGATCCTCGAGGACCGAACGCTTCTGAAGAAAGGATTGTCCTACGCCCCGGCGAAGTTACCCAAGAAACCGGAAGCATTGAGAAAGAAGGCCGCTCTGGATCGTTCGGTAAGCTTGGGCTGTGTCTCCGTGGATATTCGGGGCAGCGCGGAGGAAAGCTTCAGAATGAGCAGCTCGTTCAGCTCGGAGCCGAGCAGGCAAACGACGGAGAAAGAGAGGAAGCAGGAGATACCGCGTAGGAAATCGATCAACAGATCTGCTAGCTTATGGAACGTGCAGGCTGCGTCGAGGAACGACGCCCCCGGTAGAAGGACGTTCGGTGTTTCGACAAGGCCGAGCAAGATCCCGCTTCTGGCTCATCGGAACACGCGCGTGGGTCGATCTCTGGCCGATCTATCGCAGGTAGATCGAGCCGTGGAGCCGACAATGCAGCCGGTGACATTCGACGACGTCGACCTCGATCGCTCGATGGACGAGCGTATCTACGAGAATTGTCGCGAGGCGTTCTACTGCGCGTCGACGAAGACTCGTCAGCCACCGCGGGCGTACACCAGCAACTTGGAGGAACGCGTGGCACGGCTGATGGCGCAGCTGGACGACGACGTTGACGACGACGAGCAACACGCCCGGGCGACGATGGTCGCGTCTATCGACTGCGTGGACGCTACTCCTCCTCGTAGAGCCAATTCCGTCTACGAGGTACGGGAGATCGACGTCGAACGAAGCAACGAGCCAGATGGAAAGATTGTTCAGTCGGAACGGTACACCGCGACGGTGATAAGGGTCGAAGGAGTCCCGGAAAGACAGGATGAACCGACGGTGAAGCTAGCGGAAGATAACGAGAAGAGTAACTTGGAGGAGACTAAGAACACGTTGGACCTGGTCAGAGGATTCGGCAGAGATCGAGAGAAGATCGTCGACAGACAGGATGTCGTCGACGAGTCAAAGAGGAAGAAGGAGACGTCGAGTATTCAAGAGCTGAGGAAGAACTGGGAGAAACAGGCAGCCAGTGGATTGGCCATGAAAGACGAGAAGAAGATCGATTGTGTAGCTGCTCCAATTTGCAACGCGGAGCCCGCGTTGAAATCTGCTTGTCAAAGGAACAACGACACGAGGCAGGAACCGAAGAGCAAGCAATCGGTGGGCAAGAGAGCCAAGGAGATCGAACATCTGGTGAACTTCTTCAACTGTAAGAACGCCGAGGCGACGAAAGAGGTGAAAGATCCGTGGATCAAGGGTAGAGCCACGTCGGACACGATCGAACCAACGGTGACCACGTTGAAGAAGAACGTCGACGTTAAGAATATACAGGACTACAATGGTTATGCCTCTGATGGGAATTGCTCGGAGGACAGCGGCCACATGAGCAACGAGAACGAAGTCGAGTGGAAGGAAGGCGTGGTGCCGAGTGAGACCCGCGATTTCGAGAAGGAACGGTTCTTCGAGCAGAATGAAGTTCGCGCGATCGGTGTGTACGACGATGCGGCGTCGATCGTGAGCAGATTGGAGCCAGAGAAGAAGCCGACGGTGGTCGTTCGAAGCAGCGTATCGACCTCGAGCGGTGCCAGTAGCATCGACAGCTGTAAGGGGGAGAACGCGAAAGTCGCGGCCCACACCGGTAAAGATGTGCAGTGGAAAACTTGCAGATCCTACAACGATGGACGACAGGTCCGTCGCGTAATTATTGGCCTTCTAAACCTATTAGATACCTATCGAGAATGACCGCTAATTTAATCGATAATAAATCAGCTGACCGAGAGATCTTCACTAATGTATAAAGCACACGCGGTAATATAAAATGTATCCAGACGATTTCTCGTCAGTGAATTTGAAACTTTAACTGATCAACGGGTGCACAAAAATTCTGAGAATATTTAGGGTGATTCTGACAAGTGTATGTATTCTATCGTTTGGCTAATAGTGTTTTGATAAGATAGTCTTCATTTAGTAGACGTCATTTAATTTTTGCAGTAATTTGATGTAAAACTCTGTCGGTCGTTTTAATTATGAAAGTTTGTGTTCCAGAATTAATAGGATTGAAAATCTTTGACTGTCAGAGATGCACTAAATTCAAAAACGCGAGCAATTGGTCACTTGTACTCTCATAATGGAATTAAGCCGTGCATTTTTGTCGTTACCAATCGATCAACTTTCCGGATGGAAAGTGCTCTTGCAACTTTCAATTTGAACCGTTCGTCTACGAAGAGAATGGCTCGAAAATGATTCGAACGCTGAGCGTTGTGAGAATGTTTACAAACAGTCAGCAAGATAATATTTGAGATAATAAGCGTCTAAGTGGATACAATTACGCTTGCTTGCAGCGCTGAATGCAGCTGTTACAGTAGAATGGGATTGAAGCAGTCTGACATATACTTGACACTGGAAAGCGTTCTAGCAGAACGTTTTGAAACGAGAATAATTTTCATTCGTTCAAGTTTTTTACTTTACTTGCTGTTATAATCTAAAAAAATTGCTCGAGATGTGTGAATCAAATAAAAAACATAATATAAAATTATTACTTGAAAAATCAAAAGTGATGGATGAATTCTTAAGAGATCTACTAAAAATGTAAGAGTAGTAAATTATATTAGGTTTCATTTTGCGATCAAATATTTTTAGAGTAGTGTATAAGGAGATAACTATACAAATAAAATGAATGAAAAAATTATTTCGAAAGTAGAGACCAAGCTTGAAGTAGGAGACTTTTCCATATATTAACGTGGCATTTTATTGTTTAATTGCATTTAAGAGAGAGTATAGTTTACCATAATGTACTTCACGCGGAATGTAATGATGAAAATCGTGTCAGGGATATCCCCATTCCTTTTTCTATTCTATTCTTTTTCACGCGTGTTCTTGTACTTACGTACCGACTGCATAAACAATTATTTTAATGAATTCCATTGAAACGTGGTATTTCACGTGTGCATTCTGCTAATTAAATTGAACTCTGATTAATTATTGATTTGTAAACCATTAATAATTTTCATATTTGACAATTCATGTTTAACATCGGCGTATTATAAACTGTTTGAAATTTATATAGATTACGCGATTATATAGTATATTTTATATTTTATTTATATATTTTATTAATTTAAAAAAGAAAGGAAAGAAGATAAACGTGAGAAAGAAATTACGACTTTTTAAAATTTCAATTATGTTAGTTGAAAAATCATAATTATAAAAATTATAAGAATTTTTGCGTTTTTTAAATTTACATCAAATGCATAAAAATTCCGCAATTCTAATAGTTACAAGTTAAAAAATATATCGAATACTAATATGAATCTCTCGGTTTTCTTTTGATAGATATTTTTCAGATCAGGTACCTTGGAGCAACTCGAAGCCCAGAGAGACGAGAAGCTAACTGGACACATTATTCTTCTTCAAGCAAGATGTAGGGGTTATCTGGCACGTCGTAAACTCAACACTTTGAAAGTATGTCACGACATCTTCCTGAGTTTGTAAAAGTGCACCTTCACTTGCGAACCTGTACCGGTAGTTTTCACTCATCCCGAGAAGTTTCTTCATTTCGGCTTCTTCATTTCCGCAATGCGTCTTGAACAAATCAACTGATTGGCACTGACTTTTGTTTTAATTCAACAACCAGAAAAATGCGAACGAGATCATTCAAGAATGATGATATTTAATAATTCACAATTACAAATGTTAAATTCAATTCTTGGATGTCAAGCGATTCAAATTTTTGACGAACACTCGCGATTAGAGAAAGTTAGACGTGAAAGGTCACGATTAATTTAGCCGATAATTAAATTGCGAAATTTGCAAAAGTTATTACATCGTAAAAATCTTGATGATGTTTACGTACTGCATCCTTTCAGCTGCAAGATCTTGCGGTCAGATGCATACAGAGGAATGTTAGGAAGTGGATGTCCGTAAGAGAATGGCCCTGGTGGAGATTATACGTGAAAGTTGCACCTCTGTTGAACGTTCATCGGACAGAGGATCAATTGAAGGCGAAGACGGTGAGAATATGCCTTTTATTTTTACATTTTTACTGACCATTTTCCATCGCTAGATATGCAACAGAAACGCTAAACAACGACGCGATAAAACAACTCTATAATTTCCATAGTAAAATTATGTATGTGTTTAATTCTTTCAACTCTGTGATGTTTATTTTATTTGTTCGCTATCATCTGTCGTACATCAAGAATCTAACGTGTGTGAAACCAGAGATATCGAAATTATATTCTTTATCTTTTTTAACCATTGTTTCGGTGTTCGACGATCACCATCTATGATTTTATTGAAATTCGTTCGACGAAATTGAAACGTTATTGCATCTTTCTTAACAGGAGGAACTCGAGGTTCTCCGAGCAAAGGTGGAGAGGTTGGAACAGGAGCGGAATCATTTGAAACACGATAATGATAGATTGGAAGCTAAGGTATGACGAACAAAATTTTTTTTACTTCATTTTCCGCTGTCTCTGACACACGAGTTACACTTGATTAATTGAATCCAACAAATTGACTATCATTAACAACAAAAACACGCGAAACCAACATCTCTCTCACGTCCAGTGCCTGCGTTTCACGCAACGAAATCTCTTTTTAATGGAACGCTGCTAAGATCTGTCTCTTAAAAAATTATCTTCTCCGTATCTTAATAACCAGCCACGTAAGTCATTTACCTACTTCGCTGTATCCAAGCAACTTTATCTTATCATCGAGAGTACAGCAACAGACAATCGACGCTCGACTAGAACCCGCGTATCCAGAAGTCCGAGGAAAGTTCATTAAGCGGCGGGTCGTTTGTCCGAGCACTTGTATCGTGCAATTTGGGTTAACTGCGCGAGACGAAGCGTGCCGGCACACACTCGTCGTTGGTTTATCGCGTTATGAATCTGATCAGCGGAGCATCGCGAGGTGTAGCAGCGACCTCCGCACGTTCCTCTGCGCGGTTCCCTTGCTCTCGGATAAAAGTTCCAGTGACCGACATTTTGCTGCCTAGTGGCCTGGTGTCGTATGAAAATTCCTCTCATGACCTTGGCATTGCTGTGTGTTACCACCAGTCAACCAGCGCTGGCCCGTTGCTGGTATTGTTCCGCAATTTCTAACCGGTTTCGTTTCGCTTGTTCGACCTTTCGATCTGCCGCCATCGCCGCTCGACTATTTCAGCCGATCTATCGAACGATTTTCTACTTCCTGTCCGGCTGTCTCTAGGCTGCGCGTCCTCTTTTTACTCTGTTTTCCTTGACGATAGGCGCTCGTTCTCACTCTCTCTCTCTCTGTTTCGTTGTCGATCCTCCGTCGCGTCTTTTCGCACGAAGACAGATTTGGCCAGCGTCCAAAATCGCGTGGCCCGTGCCTACCTCCCGCGCTTCTTCTCGTCCGCTTTCCCATCTTGCTCGCACCCCGGTCTCCCTTAGAATAACTCGGAGGTGACCGTCTCCGCCAATGGACCACCGCCATCGGCCCCGTGTATCGGCTGACCCAGGAAGAAGTTAGCAGCCAGTTGCACCGCGACTCCCTCTCGATACGGGCGTCGACGTCGTTCGACTCTCGTTACGCAATTAAATGCTCGTGCCAGCCGATCCGATCAAACGGAACCAGAAGATCCCGGTCCATCGAAGGACTTTGCTGTAGCGATCATGCAATTCGATCGCCGCCGGGCCGTATCTCGCGCGATCGCCTTCGAAGCTGGCTGTTTCTCTCGTTGCTGAGGATCCCGCGCGACCGGTTATTTCGCTGGACAAGGTGGTCGATATCGATCGGAACATTATCATCGTAAACAAAATTCCCTGGCCTGCCAGTTGTTATCATTTCGCGAGATTCCATTTCGACGAATAGCATTACTTCGTATCATTCAAGATCAGTAATGACGGCCTCGTGCGTAGAAAAATATTTTCCTTCTTACCACATGTAAGTGTTCAGGCAAGAGTGTCCAGGGAAATTATGCCGACGACACGAAATCGAAATTGAGCCGACTCGAGGATAACACACTGTCGGGATGCCGTCGGTACCGACCACGTACTCTGACGCGATATCGCCAGATATCGACAACTCGCAGAGCTTTGAAGAATCCTTGACCGGCAAGATGCTGGCCGGCAGAGCCATCGATTCGAACAACACGATCATCGAGAGTCCAAGAAGGCTCCTAGAGCCGACGATGTCCGCGAAAAGACCACCGTTGCCACCGTTCAGGAGACCAGCCAGCAAATTGCACACGTTAGGCCTGACGAGGAGTCCATCACCATGTAGCTTCTCATCTAGCCTGTCTTGTCGCTCAACGAGATCGATGTCCGTCATGTCCTCAAGACTTCGGACGAGCATCGATTCACCGACCTTCTCCACTCCTCCAAGGAGAATGTTTCCTCTAGCAAACGCGGCTCCTTTGGATCCGATGGAAGATCTGTCCGTGAAAGAACAGGCTCCCGTGGTATTCGACGCTAGTTTGAATTTCGTGTTAGGCTGCGACAAGCAAAGAGTCAAGCAGTCGTTCAGGCCAACGGCTTCTCACATGGAACCTTCGACTGCTTCGTCTTATTTGTCGTCGAAGATCTCGCAGTTTCTCAAAAGAACCGATCACATAATGGACGAGTGGCGAAGCATGGGTCACAGAGACGACGCGGATAACGACTTAAATTTGGCATCGATGACCCGGGGTCACGAGAGATGCGGCATGGGTAGAAGCCAGAGCGCCACGAATATCATGATCAGAGGTTATCAGTATTACAGCAGATCGAACAGCATCGGGAGAAACTCAAGGCGTTCCCTTTCACGTACCTCCGACGACAGAACTCTCTCCGACGGTGTTGGCCAGGTGGTATATTTCCTGTTTCGCTCCTGGATTCGGAGAGTTTGTTTTTCTTTTAGACAAAATTCGAAATTTGTTTACGTATTATTTTCTGTCGCGTTTTTTTTAAATTTTGTGTGTCGTTTTGATCTAGGTGCTGGATTCTGTCGCGAAGAAACGTAATGATTTAGAAAAAGAGAAGGGAGAACCTTATCTTAATAGTTATAAAGTAACGAATAAGATTTTCAATGTTAGGAGTTGAAACAAAATTCATTGCGACTGGACAAATTAATTTGATAATTTTGTCGAAATGTATCTATGTTGTTTTTTCGGCCTTGGTTGTCTTAAACCTCGTTTCGCATAACAAGTTCTTGTAAAAAATAAAAAGACAATTGATGTCAAGTACACGAGATAGCAAAAAAAGAAAGAGTAAAAGGTTTCAAAGTCATACGATCGCGCAAATCAATTTTCCAAGTTGTTCTCCTTCACGCATAACCGATCAAGAGTGCTAGCTTTTCTAAACATTCTCCCCCTAGTACGTTCTTTACAATCATCTGTATACACATTGGCACTCGCTTCGTTTAAATTAAACAGAAACGATCACAACATTGAAGAAACACTATTAAATTGATTTTTTAAAAGTACTAAAATATACTATGCTGATCATTAGACCACCCATTGACATTTTATCATGTTCACTTGTGTTTTCGAGTAATATTAGCTTTCGATACTATATTTAAAACGTTGGTTGCAAATTTTAATGTGTAGCCTGTTGTTTGATCACTGAAGCAAAAGTCAAATGTTGAAATTAGTAATGTTGTATTTAAATAAATATTGTTAATGATAAAAATCTACAAACTAATAAAATAATGTTAATAGAATGATGGGAAAATTTAAAGAGAAGAAAGATTCGTAGATTATTTAGTTCTACATGAATTTCTGTTTTTACGAGTATTTTTCTTTTTTAACTCAGTCGTATCAAGTCGGATTAAGTTGCATGATGAGCCGGTGTCATCTACATTGATGCGTAATTCGTTCATGATATTATCGATATTACTTGACATCAAATATTATTTGAGAAATTAAAAATATCAAGCAAGCCAAGATCGTCCGTAAATAATTTTCTATCTTGATTCTTATTGCAGCTGAGCGAAATGACCGCCGATTTTGCGGAGGAACACTCGACATCGACGTTGGCGGCTGAAAGGATCGATGCTGAAACGTCGGAACGTCTGCGACTTGAAAGAGAACTACAAGATGTGACAGAGGCAAATAAGAATCTACAGCAAACGACCGAACGTCTGGAGATGGAGCTTTTGTATGCAAGGGCCGCAGACTTAAATGGTGTTGCATCTGACGCTGAAGATGGTGAGGACGGCGGTGTTTATAAGCAAAGATACGAACATGCCATAAGGGAACTCGAGTTCACGAAGAGGAAGATGGCCCAGCAGCACGAAGATGACCTCGAACAATTGGTTGGACTTAAGAAGCAATTGGAGAAAAAGGTATATCAAAGTTTTAAAATTATTCAAATGGATTTTCGAATATTTCACGTTGAGAAATTATATTTTAGATTATATTTTGCTAATAAAAATGAATGGGAAATAAAGAACAAAATTTTTTCTTTTGTAAGTTTGTTACTTGGTTAAGCAGAAGCTCACTTTATAGATTGAAAACAAGTCGAAAATGTGGAAAATATTATTTGAAGCCCCGTTTTCGAGAAAATACTCTACTACAACAAGAAATTAATTACAGAAATTTATTTTTGCATCTTTTTACTTTTACATTTATTAATTTTACAATTATTTTTGCCTGCAAAATCAATTTTATTCTGTTATATGAGTTTATTTTTCGTCTGTGAACTATGTTTATATACAAAATTGCTGTAATAAAAGTAATATTTTCGCGTTGCAGTTAGCTGATGCTTACGAGGAAGTCGAGGAGCAACGTCAGGTTGTTGGACAATGGAAAAGACGTGTGCAAAAACTGAATGGCGAAATGCACGATTTGAGACTACTGCTAGAAGAACAGACGGCTAGGAATAATCTTCTAGAAAAGAAACAGCGCAAGTATGTGCTACTTGAAACACCGTCTTTTTTTATCCGGTGTTTCGCATTTCTTTCATCGCCACTATGTAGAAAGTATTTTTGGAAACTTTTGCGTAAACAGTACTGAACTATTAGATTGAGCAGGTTTGGAGAACCCGGTTCACAGCAGGATGTTCTAATTTTATCATATAAGACTTGAAAGCAGATTTTTGAAAACATTAAATTAAACATTGCCTATTTTAAAAGTAAAATTAATTATTAGGTCAATATCAAATTATTTTTAACATTTTATATTCACTATCTTACTATTGTAAAATAGTTAAAATGACTAAAGTTACTCAAGTTCATAATAGTCTAATTTTCTAAATGTTTCTTAAAAGATACACAGGAAATTCATATTTTAAAAAATCATCAGTCCGATTATTCTGGTGAAATGATATTAATTAAAAGAATAGAATTGAAAAGAATTGATCAATTGTATAATTTTAATCGAAAGCACCTAAAAGAAAAATTGAATTATCTATTCAAAAGAGAAAGTTTTTGCTTGCGGCACGATTCTTGGCTACTCGTTAAATTTGTCGAATTTTCACGGTATCGGGGGATGCTCTATTCTGATTCCGTTCGCGGCAACAAGTGTTTCTGGCAATTGGCCAGGTCGGTAATTTTGCGCGTCCGACGACATCAGCCACTGGTTGGAGGTTCGTTGGGCGCATAAACCGTATGATTGACTGCCCTAGATATAAGTTTCTGTAATATATACCTTTTCAATACTTAATATTATATTCTACAAATATCTCTTCTGAATTCGTTTATTTAGATTCGATTCGGAAACTCAGAATTTGATGAACGATCTACGGCAAGAGAAAGCGCAGCGTGAAAGATTGGCCAGAGAGAAAGAAATCGCGATCGCGGAAAAGTTTACCATAGAACAAAATCTGAGCGTAAGTATATCAATTTAAATAAAATATTTTCATTTCTTGATAATTGATTCCTTTTTTTCTTAATTTCATACTTATGGTCGTATTTCATTTAATTATTCATTGAATGCAGGCGCGGAAAATAGATCATTGATTAATTACCGATATATAATTGTCATTTATTTTCATTTAATATAAAATATGTAAAATAAAATGTTCCGATTAAAAAGAAGATAAATATCCGAAATATTTCTTTATTTACTCCTAATTTTTCATTCACAACTTCTAATGTAGGATGCAAGACTGGAAATTGAATTAAAGGAAGAAAGACTACGGACGCTGAGCCAAGAGCTTGAGGAGTTAACGTTTGGTGGCAAAACGGAGGAGGAAGTAGCACAGTTGAAGAAAGCAAAGCACGAACTGGAAAAAAGAGCAAAGGATCAAGAAGAAGAGCTGGACGACCTCGCTGGACAAGTTCAGTTGCTCGAGCAGGCAAAATTGAGACTCGAGATGAGTATTGAACAACAACGCAAGGAGATACGCAAAGAGATGCAACAGAGGGACGAAGAATTAGAAGATGTACGCGGTAACGCTCTGAAAAAGGTGAAAGCTCTAGAATCGCAGCTAGAGAACGAACACGAGGAGAGGACGATATTGCTTCGAGAGAAACATGAACTGGAACGTCGTTTGGTAGCCATCGAGGAACAAGATCGTGCTGAACGTGCTGCAGAAGCTGATACCATGCATAGGTATGTTACTTCTGATCTTTCGATTGTGCACATTTATGCAAAAACGTGTATGGAAAAATTCAACTACTCGTTATAATATTTTAAGGATGAAATAAACTTTTATTTTAGTTTTATTTCTTTATCATATTTATAAAAATCTGAATTCACATAAATATTTGCAGTCTGACAATCATTAAAATGAGGTTTCTGTATGTTACGATTGATTATAATCGCAGAATATACATTTTCTTTATTCTTTTACAATTTTACAGGCTAAAGAGAGATTTAAAGAGAACCAAAGCATTATTAAGAGACGCTCAAACGATGCTGGAGAGATCAAAAGGCGATTCGACGGGTAAAGCAGCTTTGCGACAACTGAAGAATCAATTGGAGGATGCAGAATGTGCTAGAGCAGTTGCAGTTAAGGCGAAACAAGCACTAGAGCAAGAGCTAAACGAGACGCAGGCATCGTTAGAGGAAGCACTGCGACAACGTTCTGAAGCAGAAGACCGTGCTAACGTAGCTAATCGTGAGCGAACTGAGTTATTGTCGCAATTGGAAGAGAACGAAGAGGAATTAGCAGAAGTATATTTCCTAATGATACATAGTAGTTGTAATAAATAATTTAAGTATATAATATATAATTAACGATTGATTCCAAAGGTATTGAAAAAGTATCGGGCGGCTGTGCAGCAAGTATCGGCGGAACAAGGTCAGTTGCAGGAAGCGCAAGTGCAAATTGCTGCACTGGAGGCAGAAAAATCTTCGTTGAAGGATCAACTTTCAGAGTTAACGCAACGACTTGAATCCGTTGAGCAACTTGGTGATCCGACTGCGAACAGTCTTGCCACACGACGACTCGAGTTTCGTGCTAAAGAGCTCGAAAGTAAGCTCGAATTAGAGCAAACGACAAGAGCACGTTTGGAAGTAAGCTATTTCTCTTTTACTTGAATTAAAAATTATTTGTGTGTATTAAAAATTATTGTGTATATTCTCGATATTTAGACTCAAATAGCAAGACTGAAAGAAAACGTAGATAAACTACAAACTGAGACTGCGTTACTTCGAACGAAAGAACAGAGTGCCCAAGATGCTTCGAGAAGATTGCAAAGATCGTTACGTGAATCGAGAGATGAGGCCAGTTCGGCACTGGCACGTGAACAAGAGTCCACGCGTGCTCGTCGCGAATTGGAAAAATCTCTTGAGGCTGCTGAAGCGGAGACCAAAGTCGCTAGAGATGATCTCAGATTGGCGCTTCAACGAATTGATGATCTACAGAGCGCCATACAAGGTGAACTCGATTTAGATTGCAGCGAGGAGGGGACAACCGAAAATAGCGACAGGTATTTATCAATTGTTCAATTTACAATTTAATAATTAGGACATATAGTATTTTAGTATGTGTACTTAGACTGCGGATTTGTATGCAAGTAATTCAAAAGTGTAAAAATACGTAAAAGGCATATGATATTAAAAGATGTATAAGATATCTAAAATATCATATTTATTATAAGTGAGTTAAAATAACTTTTTGGGTTCCATTTTTTAATTATATTTATGAAATTATGAAATCCGCAGACTGAGTATGGTATGTAATATATAGAAATCATATTTATAAACGTCTTTCTTTAGTGATTGATGTGAGCAGTTGTCGGATCTTGAATCCGACGAAAACAAAGATAAGGAACCGACTGATCAACGTATAGCCGAAAGAATTACTGATGAATCGCCAGTCGTCGAGTCATCGATGGATACTTGTTGATTCACAAGGCTGAAAGAAGGACAACAAATATTAAGAAACATCAAGAAGAATGATATTACAAGAAAAAAGAAGACATATTAGATCAAAATTGCTAGACTTAGTTTCTTACTACCAACGTCGTCACCACTGTCGGGTGAATTCAACATTAACGACAGCGAATCAAAATTGATGGAGAAAAATCAAATCATTCAATTCTATATGTAGGGATTCTATCACTAGGATAAAATTTTTAAACACAAAATGACGAGTAACGAGTGAAATCCGTCAATTTGTACGATTACAGTTAGCATAATTTTACTCGTGACTCTTTTCTCAACATAATCGAAAAGATGACAAGTTCTTAGGTGGTGCTAATTTCGAATCTCAGAAAACATGTTGATGTCGTGGCTATTCATATTCTGCTTCTTACTACGTGTTTTTGGTGCTATATTATCCGACAGTAGATTTTGTCGACGGATTAATTGTTGTTCCAGTCTTCCAAAAGAAAAAGTCGAGCTTCTCGATGCAGTGGTGTCGAGATGTTAAAATACGTCCATGTGCACAATTATCAAACGGTTGCCTATCTAACAGCCCATAAGTTCGTGTCATGGAGAACGAAATATCAAAGCCTTACTTCTTCAAAAATGAAAAGCATTTTACGCTTTTTTAACACTTTGCTATACGTAGCCAACGTTGGCTATACAGTTTGTATTATAAAACGCGTGCTGCGACTCAGTTTTTTGGTTTCTCATATAAGAATTCATATGTAACTTATTGCTTTGTAAAATGCAGATATCTTATTTAATTAATTCGTATGTTTTCATTTTTCCTTGCTTCCTCCAAATCCTCTTAACATGTTGAAATATATTGATGGACAGCGAGAAAGAACAGCGATCAAACAATGAAGTTCTCTAATTTGAATTGAATGTTATAATAACATTTCGTCTCATTTTAATTAGAAATATCTCAGGAATATGTTAATGAAATTTTCATTAATAAAAATGAAAAATAAAGAAATTTCAATGAGAATTTTGAGAGAAAAGCTGTGATTACTTGTTCGATGGATACCTTTAATTTTATTGTCATGAGTAAATTCATGACATTTTAAAGTCATGAGTATTATTTAAAATTTATTGCAAAATTTATTAATTAACTTCAACGTTGTAGAAAAATATGCTATATTTGTTTTATATCTCTTCTATAAGATTACTTTATCTTCAAATAACAGTAAATGAGAAATATTTGAAGAAGAAAATATTTATATTTATATTATTATTGTTATTTTCTATTTTCTGTTACATAATCTATATAAAGTAATTTGTTGTCAATTTCTTTCTTAATAAAAATTTTTGATACTACAAATGTAAACTGAAAATGTAACATCCTGTTAGAAATTTATTATAATAGTTGTGAGAAAAATAATTATAATTTTATTATAATTATTATATGTGCATATTTATATTAGTTCTTTTGGTTACAATAACAAGATCCAAAATATTGTAATTTGGATAATTATTGCAACAATTTAAGAGAAAGATGATGAAATAACTTTTTTTTAAACCCTTTCTCGGCGCCCTCTGTGATGATAATCGCAACAGTTGAACTACGTCCTACATAAGCGTCAATAAATTAAAGTATCTTGCATAATGTTCTTACAATAGAAATTTATAGATGTGAAACGACATTCAAAGTTTATTTGCTCATGTTTTCGTTAATTACTTTATAAACAAATAGTAGTATTTAAGAATAGGTATGTAACTTGTTATATACTTTTATAAGATAGCAAAGATGAGAATTCGATATCTGTCATTGAACCGTAATGACAATTGTAGTTTAAAAGCTTATTTCTGACAATTCAATCGATATAATAATTATTAAGTAAAATGTGTTAATTGGTTTTAAGAATTATTTAAGAATTTTTTAGGTTATAGTTTTTGATATACATATGTGATGTCTTCTAAATCTTCCAAATATTAATAAATTTACATAAGTACATAAATTTTATTATATATTATATATAAGTATATTACATTAAAAATGTAGAACGCATGAATTTTATACTCTATTATCAATATATTTCATTTGATAAGAAATTAAAGTGAAGATATAAAAAATGTGTAATATAAATAATTGTTTCAGGGATTACATATATATTGAAATTTCGAGTATAATTTTATCAACATGATCTTGACATTTCTTTATATGGTAGCAACATCAATCCAATCAAGAAGAATTTTATTCTTAAAGAATCATCTACGCAGTTTATTTCAAGGAGACACAACCACTTATCCATCAATAATGTTTTATAATAAAACACTAGCTTCAAATAAAGGTAATCCATTAATATTTATATTTGATAACATTATAAATACAGTTTTTGATATAATTTAGAAATTTTCTACATTCGTAAGGTAGAAAATAAAATTATATTAATTATTAATATATTTTCAATATAATTGTTATAATTATTATTATTGGTTATTTATAACAATTATTCAATTATCATATATTTTTATTATATATTTTGATATTACATATCTTGCACTCTTTTTAGTATAAAATTAAAAAAAAAGAAATAAAATTAATTTATAAAGATATATTTTTAAGGTATTAGTTTTCAAATTATACATTCTATGTAGGTTTTATAAGTATCATTTATAATAATACATGTATTATAATAATGTATTATTGTTATATTAATATAATTTGTAGTATTTTAAAAGTGTTATTTTAGTTGTATGAAATAAGAGATGTTATTTATTTCTTTTTTATGAATTTGTAACATCTTGTTTATAAATAAATCAGAAACTTTTATATATACACAATACACATTGTATATTATAATTTGTAGATAATAATTATTTGTTGCTTTCACTTTTTCAGACTTAAGTGTTAGTTCAATATTTATATATATACATACATGAAATATCATTTGCGTTTTTATTGGTTTTGTAAGTTTATTATCTATTTAACATTACATGCATGTAATTTATTATTATACTTAATATATAAAGTATCCAAAACTAATACAATTCTGCTATATTATGTTGTTAGTCCTTACATTTACTTAGTTTTGTGTAAATTGTCGTATAGTAATATAAAGTTTATTTAGTGAAATATATTATATAGTGAATTTATGTTATGATAATTAGTGACTCATTTTATGTTATTTCATATTTGTGTTATTAACTTTTAATAAATTTATATATATATATAACACACATATACGTATATATGTATATATCTAATTTAAAACATATACTGAAAAACTTTTTAATATAATGGATAATAAAATATTATTTATTATTTTAAGAATCAAATTCTCCAATGAATGATTGTGAAAATGATGAATTTATGACTTCTTGTCTATGTATAAATAAAAGTGATGCTAGACTAGAAGAATTACTATGGTACTATGATGATATGAGATTGTGCACTATATTTCCTCAAGTATGCATCAAGCAATAATAGTATAAACAAACTGTTGTTGTTTGAATATAATTAATCATTGGGTTAATTGCTATTTTTACCAGCAAAAAGTTGACATCTCAAGTTGGTTAATGTATCAGTATGGAAAAACGTTTTTTCCTTTACATATAAATAATCGTAATGGAACTTTGTTACAATCAGAGTACAAACTTTATATTCTTGTTGAAGCTGATCTTGAAAGCTATAATCCTGTTGCTGCAACACATGCTACAAAGGTATATCCATTTATGCTAAATATTGTTTTTTATTTTTGAATATAATTATTTTAATAAAGTGTATATAAGTAGTTTTATTATTTCAAGAAGAGATTGAATACAAATAAACATTATATTTTATAATCTAATTGTTTTTGAAAATTCTTCTCTATGTATGCACAGAAATATTTGTTTGAGAAGTCAATAGAGTTCATCAATTTTAACATTTCGTTTTTGTAGTTTAAATATATTATATATTTTAGGTCGAAGATTATGGTTTAATTATTACATGGACAGCAAATAAAAATGTCGATTTAATTATAGAGTCTGATTTAGACATGGTTGCAAAATTTTTTATTGCAGCAATGGAAGGTCAATGTTATATTAATAATGGCTTGTTGTTGAAACGAATAGAAAGTATGTATAGATTTGAACTCTGTTCATCAAAATATTCGGATCATAATAGCTTTATATATATTTTTTCAGCTGTCCTGATATCAGGAAAGCCTTGTCTTTACAATAGTGACGTGTTGAATTCATCCCCAAGTAAAAGTAAGAGTTTCATATAATTAATGTTGTTAATGGTAGATTTTTTTTCTTTGGTGAATAAACTGTTTCTTTAATCTATTTTTGGTTGAAACGTTAAAAGGACAAACATAAGTCTTCATTTATACGTAAAGCTGAGAGTAGGCTTATTGTACGAGTACATACATGCTTCTTACAGAATCTTTACCATACTGTTTGTCTAGATCTATTATTTTCTTTTCTTAACTGTCATATCTCCATTATCTCAATACATTTGTAAATTCTAGCAATCCTATGCAGTAATTCTTAATTACATATTAGGTCTTCAAATATTCTGATGATCCAATACTCATGAATTTCTACATAACGTACAAAGCGAAATAAACCGACAATTTAAAAGTAAATATTTTATTTTGCTTCGTGAACTAATATTTAATTTTGCTTCGTGAACTAATATTTAATTGTAAATATTAAAAAATGGATACGTGAGATATCTTGTCTACGAATGTAAAAGATTAACTCATGTTTAATTACATGAAATGAGTTTTATGTGTTTGCTGAAACCGAATGAATTCTCGAGATTCATTATGTTGAGAAAAAATTTAATAACTCTTAAAAATCATCGATTTTTTGTGCTATTATTAATTCTAGACGAATCTGTTCTTCGAATTTTTATTTATGGGAATAAATGATTTAGAACTTGAGAGCATTCTACTAAAAAAAAATATATATGTGTATTGTATATTTTGTATATCATTTTATACAATTTATATTGCGTAATATATAAATAAAAGTAAGAAACGAAAATCGCGTAAAATAAGTTTTATACATATTTTTCTAAGAATTTATAGACAAAGAGGAATGGAGAATGCATACGGAAAAATTAAAATCATTAAGCGACACTGCCAAACTTGCATCCGAGAAATGCAAACCATTTGAAGTTAAGGACCTTCCAGGCTTAATAATATATCCAGAAAATGCTGTAACGAGCGCAGATATTGAACTGATGAAACGTGTGGAGTCTAATGAAACACTAGGTATATACAAAAAATTATTAAACAAAAATTTTATAAGTACTATATAGTATTTTATGATTAATCGAGTGTTATTTAAATTACAAATCTCGATGATTTATTTAAGAAAAATTACTTTGTTACAGAAAGTGAATGTAGAAGTCAAGTTTCTACACCAGTTTCTACTACAACTATTCCTCAATATGAAGATCAATTATCTCGAGAAGAAATACAAAAGATCACAGAGGATACCACTAAATTTCAAGGTGTTCCGCATTCTGCTAGTAAATCACTTGATATGCTTGACAATTTAGAAGATGTCTCTAGTAGTATAAGCACCAAACAAGTATCTTGCAGTGATATAAAAAGTACAAGTAAACCTTTTGAACCAAAGACTTTTTATGATGCTAAGAATATCAAAAGAACATCATCTGCAAGTCCTTTCAAGTAAGTATTTTGAAAAGTAGTTATTTAAAAGAAAGAAACAATTTGGTACGCATACGGAAACCATACAAAACATTAATACTTCAGTTTTGCTTAAACATACTGTATGTATCTAAGTATTTGGTAAATTTAATGAAATGTTTATTTTATAGAAATTCTATGGCGGAGATAACAACAAAGTTATCAAAAACGAATGTAAAACCACCAAATGTCCTAATATATGCTGATAGTTTTATTGCACGTAACAATGTAAAGAATGTTTTGGAAGAATCTCTCGGCACGGATAAGTATGATCATTTGTTTTACTATATTTAATAATATATAATTAATTAAAAATATATGATGAATTAAAATACAGCATATAACATATGTATTGGGATTAAATTACAGAAGTAGAAGATAAAAAAAAGAATATTATTCATTTGATATTGTGTTATTTCATGCATAATAGCAAAACGTTAAAGATTTAATGCAATATATGAAAAAATAGGAACTCTTGTAAGATATTTATTGAATTGTTTTTTTAATTAGATACACTATTTATGTGTTATCATCAGAAGAAGCACGTAATGACACTTGGATAGAAAATGCAGCTTTAGTGGTTGTTTGTGGAAACGTTGGCAATGAGATTGGAAGCCAAATCGTAGAATATATTCTTCGCGGTGGTAAACTGCTCGCTTTATGCTCTGATGTAATTCATATTTTACTTCCATCATTTAAAACAGCGGAAGTACGAGAAAATGAGCTGGTTCATTTTTCCTATGGGAAATGGAAGCACGTACGCATGATGCATCATATATTTTGTTATCAGGCATCTCCTGTAAGGACGAGATTTTCGCAGGATCATGAAGACGTAAAGTAAGACTTTTTAACTATAATTTTGTATGTTTACAAGTTGAAGATAGAAAATATATTTTTGTGTGAAGAATAATCTTTGTAATATTTGAGTTTGATCATTTTGAAATTTAGTTGGATACATTTCAGAATTTTTTTTTTCAGAGTGTCTAGTGTATCTCCACCAGCATCGGTAAGCGTAAAAGATAAAAAGGGAAATTCGCATTCATTTGATCTAAAAGTACTTGGAACAGAGGAAACTTGGCACACACCAAGTATTTTACTTGCCACTCTTCCAAAAAGTGGTGGAAAGCTTGTTTTTTCTCAAATACATCTAGAAGTTGATCCAATGCAATATGAACTGGAAGAAAGTAAATTTAATGCTTTGAAGGAAAGTAATGCAACTAGATTGGAAATATTCAATGATTTATTGAAAGCACATCTTCAAATGGAAATTCGTAGTAATTCACAAAAAACTGCACCTGCAACTTATACGCCTGCCTTCTTTTTGGGGCGTCACGAGGTATGAAAACCAAATGTTATTTCTGAAGAAAATACTTATATGTATTAAGTAAATTATTAATTATGACAGTGATATCTTTTACATAGGTGATTTTTGTTACGTGCAAACTATGTTAAATAAAGCAATGAGGATTATTATTCTCAGTATCTTTGATATTACCAGAAGTAGGAAAAAATTTATTGAATGAATCATGGTAGAAGGGAGCCTATCAACATTGTTATATAATGTTGTTAAATACTGTTAATGTCATTTTGTGCGTAATGTCTTTCAACTTTGTTGAAGGAAATATAAGCGTTTTGTCAATAATTTGGCTGACAACTGACTTCGATGATCTTACACAATAAGTAATTATTCTCCTTCTGGCAGTCACTATCAAAAATAATACTAAAAGCATTCTTGTAAATATAACATTGCTTTTAGAAATGCTGCTGAAAGCAAGTATAACTATATAATAATTAGGCATGGGATCAATTTTAATATGTATCTACAAATTTAAATCAGTCTAGTCAATATAGTCGAATTTGAATGACTTATAGCAATCTGAGAAATGAAAAACTTATGAGAACTTGTCTTGGTATGGATTCAAATTTACGTAAAAGCATTATCCTTCTTAAAGTGGTATAAATATTATTTGTATTACATTTGCTCCCATGTCTAACAGTGCCTCCCTTTTTACTATGTAACAGTCTTCAATAAATTATTTTGCTATCATTACTAAAGCATTAAAAATGATGATTCTATAACTGCTATCATTACTAAAACATACTAAAGATAATAATTTCTGTCGATTCACGCTATATTTCTTGCTTTTGAATTAACTACGCTTGTGCCATGTGAAAGTTACTAATTGCGCTGTGAATAATATCTAATAATTTTTCTAAAATAAATGTAAATGTTTAGAGAATTATACGTGAATAATACATGCGGAAGATTTATATAAGATTTATAGAAGAAGAAAGATGAATGTTTATATGCATTTTTTAAAATATTTTATAGCTAAAGGTACAATTATTAGAAAGATTGAAGGATGAAATGAAAGGAGGCGACACTTTAAAAATGCCAAAACTGGAAATCCAATTTTGTAAAAGCAGCACAGTTCCACGACCCGCTTCAATTTCATTCCTGCCAATTATGGTTTATCAATGTCCTGACAATTTCTCAACTGTAGAATATTTTGAGGTAATGTGTATGTTGTCAAGACACATTGAAGTTAGCAATATGTATAATAATTTATTGTTTTAAAGATTTATTTGCTTGAATTTTTGCTCTTACAGAATTTAACAACAAAGGAATTGGGACGTTTGGTTATATATGCTGAGATAATGACCTCATCAATGAATATATTTAATGGCCATCAATTGGAGCATGGTTTAGCTGTTATTATTCGTCAACAAACTCAAGGACAAGGTATGTATTCAAATACGTTTCATCGAATATCATGCAATATATTATGTGCAATGTTGTGCAAAATAAAACAGTATCAGCATGCCTAACTAGAATTTTGCATAATTAAAAAATTATTGGAATATTAATCAATATTTGCTTTTCTAATGTAATTGATTGTATTCACTTTAATTTAATTATTGCCATGAAATATTGCTATTAGGCTAAGAGAACAAATTACAAAATTTACTGTAAAATATCTCTGTAAGCAGAGCATAAAGGTAAGTAACATCAGGTAAGTAACAGTTCTGTTGCACAATATTGTATTTTTTTTCTTCAATTAAATAAATCGTAGTATCATTTATTTCAATCTCGTTGAAATAGTTAAAAAATAAGAAACAAGGATATAGAATGAGTAGTTTTATTATAAACAAAAAGTATAGTATGCTATAAGGAATATATGAAATATAGGATAAAGATTTAAGAGCTAATTAGAAACATGAAACTGAAAAAATTCATAAATTAATGAATATCAGATAAATTAGACGAAGAAGTACGCCTGTTCTTTTCGTACAATAGTTACAATTCATTTTCCATGAGCCAGCTACCATTTATTCAATTACGACTAAAAATCTGACGCAGTAACAGGAATATAGAATATGAAAGGAGGTATGTCAACTATTGTTAGACAAGAAGCGCGATACTGTCAGACAAGGACATATATACTTCTCTTCCTAATCTGTTGAATATTCACTAATTACACAATTTCTGGAAACAATTCGTGAACTTTTGGGACAAAAGAATCAAGTGCAGATCTCAAGCAACATTCCTATACAGTTTTGGACACGATTTCTTGTTTAATTAATAAATTATAAACGATTCTTTCCACAAGTGTCTGGGCTTCCGTAACGCGTGTCTACGAATTTTTAATACTATCGATCTTTCAAGACCTTACAGCCCGCTTTTTGAAATCGTAGAAGCTCCCCTAGACTCTGCACTTTACACTCCATGCACACAGATTATTAATTAATTATGTGTTAATTCAAATTATGCGAAAATTCAGTGCGTCGGTCTGCCGTAGTAACATAGTCGTGTTGTCGTGCAACAATAATTAATAACTCATAATTTAAGCAACAAATCCGATGTAAAACGACTTGCGATGTGAATATAGCTTGTGGTCCGGATTTTCTTCCACGATTCCAAAAGTGCACGATTTCCACCTAGAAATCGAATAATTAATAAATATTCGATGAATTTGACAGAAAAGTACATGTATCCTTGTCACGTGATGTTGCTGTTCTTTTCTATGCTCTAGTGCTGCCATCTATCGGAGTGGCGAAACTTGAGCTGAAAACTTGGAAATGTAACAGGAACATAGAATATAAACAGAGGTATCTCGACTACTGTTAGACAAGAAGCGCAATACTGTGCAAAAAGGACAGATACACGTGACGTAACAGAGAAGGAGAGCACTATCGAACGACAAGGACAGACATATTTCTCTTTCTAATCTCTCCAATATTCACTAATTTACTCGATTTTCAGAAACAATTTGTGCACTTTTGGGATAAAAGAATAAAGTGCAGATCTCAAGCAACATTCCTCTACAATTTTTGATACGATTTTTTGTTTAATTAATTAGTTATAAACGATAGTTTCAACAAGTGCCTGGGCTTACGCGTGACTGCAATATGCATGACTACGATTTTTCATTGGTAATGAGCTCTAGCAAGATTAAAGCTCGGTATTTGGAATCGTAGAAGCTTCCTTAGACTCTGTATTCTTCGTTCCATGTACAAAGATCATTGATTAATTATTTGTTAATCCAAATTATGCGAAAATTCATCGCGTCGGTTCTCCGTAGTAACATAGCACAACGGATTATCGTGCAATAATCATTAATAACTGTTAATTTAGACAACAACTCCGATACAAAACTACATGTGAATGTCGCTTGTAGTCTGTATTTTATTCCACGATTCCAAAAGTGCACGATTTCCACCTAGAAATCGAATAATTAATAAATATTCGATGAATTTGACAGAAAAGTACATGTATCCTTGTCACGTGATGTTGCGGTTCTTTTCTATGCTCTAGTGCTGCCATCTATCGGAGTGGCAAAACTTGGACTGAAAACTTGGAAATGTAACAGGAATATAGAATATAAACAGAGGTATCTCGACTACTGTTAGACAAGAAGCGCGATACTGGGAGACAAGGATAGATACACGTGACGTAACAGAGAAGGAGGGCACTATAGAACGACAAGGACAGACATATTTCTCTTTCTAATCTGT